GGAACCAGAACAACCATAGGAACCAGAACAACCATAGGAACCAGAACCCGAACAAACAGGAACCAGAACCACAGGAACCAGAACCAGAACAACCAGAACCAGAACAACCAGAGGAACCAGAGGTCCTGGTACTGATCCTTCCACTAAGCCCTCTGTTAGCGGAGCCTCCAGGATCTCTGCCAGGTTCTGATCGGCTCGCTGCCGGGTGGATCGGTGCGCATCCAGGAGAACCAGCAGCAGCTTGAAGACGGGATTTAACCCTCCAGCTGTTCTGGGTCTGAGAAGAACCGACCAGAACTAGATCCAAACTTTAAAATACGCCTCTTCAGACTAAGAGGCAGAATATTTATCGATTAGTTCACAGATCATCAGCTGGATTCTGGTCACTACTTTGACTAGACCGTTCTGAAGACCGGGTCAAAGTACAGACTATGGTGGAGGAGAACCCAATGAAGGATCTTTAAAATCTTTAAAAATACTTTTACTTTTAATTATCAATAATCAAAACTGGATTCTGGTTCAGAGTTTAATAAACAATTAAACTAAAAAGAATAAAGACTGTTAGTTTTGGTTTTGGTTCTGTAAAGAGGTCCGGTCTGATCCGGTCTGATCCAGTTTGGACCGGTCTGATCTGGTCTGATCTGGTCTATTTTAAAAAGGAACTGAGCAACATTTTCCTTCCATCCTGTCGTCCTGAACTTGACTGCATCACATTATGAACAGAACTCAAACCAGCACCCCACATCATGACCAACCTACCGCCGTGCTCCAAACATAGAGCAGTTAAAGCATTTTAGTCCGGTTAAAATGGAGATGGCTTAAAGAGACTGGAGCAGTTCCTAACTGGGGGACGGTGGGGAGGAAGGGTGTCCTAGCAGCCAATCAGAACCAAGTATTCACCCAGACTGTGGTTATAAGAGCATTTCATGCTCCTAAAGGGTATCAGAGTAAAGAGGGCTGATTATTCTCATGGTGGAAATCACTCTGGGTTCCTCCTTTAATCGCTGCTTCATTCTGTTGATGCATTCATCAAAACGCCTCAGAGGGACCAAATGAGACCAAGTTTAGGTTTCATGATGCGTATCCACGCCTCTCAGGCTCCCGTAGCACAACAGACGTTTAGTTTCCTCCATCAGAGGAGTTGAAACCGATCCAGGTTGGAACTTATCGGATGTTTTCAGCTTCCTCTGAAGTCAGAACTCTCCTTCTGCTTCCACCTCGTTAGAGAAGCAGAAGTAGGATCTTCTCTCGGTCTGTTTTTATTTCCAACACTCAAACCTGCGCTGGTGAATATTTGACGGTGTTTTGCTTTTTGGATTTTTCATGTCTCCCATCTGGGATTTATGGAGCTGCTCTGTGCGAGCGCGGCAGTGGAGGGTTTTAGTATTTCATCACGGCCTCCAGTCTTGTTTGTCTTCCACCTCTGATCCGTCTCCTCCAGACGAGGATCACCTGACGCTTCATAACGAGCCGTCAGCTTCAGAGAATCAGGGACTGATTCTTCCTGCTGTTTATCTGAACTGATTCTCCAATCATTTAAAAAGTTGAACGTTCAGGCTGATGCGGTTATCCGGAGCTGCAGCTTCAGGGAGACGTTTCCAAGGAAGATTCTTCATCATTTATTCTGGGATTGATGGAATGAAGCTTCAGGAACTGCAAAGCAATGATTTTTTAAAACAACAGCAAAGCGATCTAAGACCTCAGAAAAGTTCAACAAAGAACGATTAGAATTCAAATTCTTGGGTTGGCCGCGCTAACCACTGCGCCACGGAAGCACCACCCATGTACGGAGGCCTTAGTCCTCGGCGTGGCCGACCCAGGTTCAAATCCAACCTGTGGTCCTTTGCTGCATGTCTCTCCCCCTTACCCGTCAGCCCACCGTACAAAGAACGAGCCACTAATGGCGTAAAAAAAAAAACAGAGATTCTGATTCTTCTGGAGCTCCGTCAGCTCATCAGCAGATCCTCAGCAGCGTCACCGCCCAGAAGCAACATCAACTAAAAAGAAGAAGATGGGGCTGCAACTACTGATTATTTTCCTAATGAAATACTGTGACTCCAGAGAGAAACATCAGCTGTGCTGCTGCCATCAACACCTTTGTTTCTAGATGTTGGAGCTTGGCCTGTTTTCCAGTGTAGTCCTGTTTCTCTGACT